ACAAGGTTTGGGGATGTTCCATTTAGCAGTTACATGATTGGTTGATATTTAGCAAGCATGGGGGGTTGAGGGGTGGCTACATGTAGAGTTTATGGGAAAAAGGAATGATCAGCACACTGATAGAATGTTTTATAGATAATGGGCCCGGGAGCATCTGTTTTCTGGACAGACAGAGGATTGAGTTAGGAGCTGTGTCTTTTTTTTTATGTGTTGTCCCACAGCAAGGACATTTTATCATTTTATGGGCACAAAGGAGACTAGGGGAATAGTTGACTTCGGTGAAGTGGAATTTATGTCAAGGCCATTTTACTGTCTTATATTTAAGATGGAGTCAAACTTTAAAATAGAGTTAGTTAGGTCTCACAATACAATAGTGGGTGGTGGGAGGGGAAGGGGAAAGGGAAGAATGGAAAGGAAAAATTATGAGAAAAGAAAAAAAATGGAAACAACGTATGTAAATAGGGAAGGGTTTAGGATTGAAGGGTGCACAGGTGATGGGTAAAAAATGAGAACCAAGATACATCATGTACAGGTACAAGCACCCAAAGATAAATATAAATGTATTGTATACCTAAAATGTACCAATAAAATAATTAAAAAAATAATAAAAATAAAAATACAATAGTATCTGAAGTGGCAGGAGATGAGGAGGGGCACCACTCTGACAACAGAGCTGCACCCATATTGAGAGTGAGAGTAGAGAAGATTGATTGCTGGGTAGCCAGCGAAGACACTGAAGGGAGTTGTTCCTGTACATTGGGCTGGCAAGGGGCACAAAGGGAAGGGGAGGGAGCTTTTTGACAGCCCCCTTGCCAAGCTACACCTCCCAGAAGGCAGGAAAACCAGGAGAGCCAGGCTCTTGTCTTTCTCATTTTCATATGAATTAACTCAATCAGGATATGTTGTATGTAAAGAATTGTTATTTAAACTAACTTTAGAAGTTAACAAGTATTTTTTTTTTTTTTTGGGCTTAGGTTTAACTTGTATCAACTATCTTCCAAAACATAGCTAATCATCATTTGATTTGATACTGCATCTTATTTTACTTTTGGGGGAAGGTAAAATTCTAAACCTCATCTTTAGAGATCCTGATTCAGTAAATCTGGTATAGGGATAGCAAATCTATATTAAAAAACTAAAATGGACAAAATCTCTTTACATGTGTTACAAGAATTTTGAAAATTGATAAATAGTTTTGAGAAGATTAGCAAAATTTCAGAAGCTACCAGAAAAATGTCAAAAATAGATTCCAGCTTTTAATTATAAGAAATGAGAAAGAAGTGGTACCAGTTTAACTAAAGTAATCTCACTTGTAATGTGGAAAGTTGATACAATATTATTCCAAGTGGTTAACTCTAGACATATCAATGCAGTAGTTTAGTTATCATGAGTGAGAAAGTCAGAACTCCCTATCTACAGGGTCCCATAAGAGAAAATATCCCACCTGGGTAAAGAGCTAACTGGAGCAGCTAAGCCAAGCTTAGAGATTACAAAGGTAAACACAAGAAGAAGCTAAACACAAAAAGAAAGGGGAGAAGAGGACCTTTCCTCCCAGGAAAAAACTGGCAAATTGGTTGGCAGTTCTTCCCTACCTTAGAGCCCTGTATTTCAACTGGATTTTGAGAAAACATTAGCAATACAAGATAATTAGTTTCTTTTTGAACTCATTTCCTTTGAAACAAGTCCTCTACCTGCAGAAAGCCAGGACAGAGAAAACATGTTGCAATTTTTTCCCCTCATCTTATTATTTCTGATGAGTAGCCTCCTAAATTCCATGTTTATTCTCAAATTTCTTCTTCACTTTTGAGAGTCAAACAACTTGGCTTTATACAAAATTAACTTTTTGTAATGTGAACAATTATTTAGAGCTGTAGAGGTAATATTCAGGAGAATTAAAAAAAATGGCAATATTCTACAGAGATTAAGTTTTCTCAGAGGAACAGGGTGAAGAAAACGGAGTTATTCAGAAACTTCTATTTTCATTTATGAACATATTTACATTTGTACATTCATCATTTTTAAATACAATAACCTCTGGTGATTCTAATGATCAACTATACTGAAAAATCTATAATATAGTAAGCTGTTCTACTCAAATATATCTCATAACCAATTGTAAAACAACAGCTCCCCGAAAACTCTTATCTTCTTTCAAATCCTAAGAGCCCGAACCACCTGATTCAAAGAAATAAAGATAAACTCTGTCCCTGTCATGTTCACACTGAGTAGCTTAAATGTTGGCTTTGAGATAAAATTCCCTCCATTGGGAGTAGCTGGATAGCAGAAAAGCAGGCATTACTAATCCCACATATAGATGTTGAGCCAAGGTAGATACAAAGAAAATGGGGTTTAGCATTTGAAGCATAGTATATTATTATAGCTACCTATATTCCTAAAACCTAATATTAGTAAATTTTTGAAAATCGACATTTTGACTCTACATCAACAGTGAGCTGAAGCTACATTTTTCATAAGTTCTAAAAGATGAAAATAATTAGCTAAATGATCCCTTCAAGATTCCACTTTTGCCTTTAGGTATCAGTTATCTGTTTGCATATTATATCCAGGAACTGGATTTGAATCTATACAAGAGATTCAGAGTCTTAATGTCCTTACAATAATGAGTATTTTAATCCATCACCATGGTAAATCCTTCCCCTTAATAAAAGTCTACCTTCTCTCAATATTATCTAAAGTTTCAGTGTATAACCCTTGCCTGTACCTTATTGCATTTATTTCCAGAGATTTGATGCTAACTTGATACTTTGTGTGGTACTATTTTTTTTTTTCATTCACTAATTTTATTGGTAGACTTTAGGTATACAATATGCTGACATTCATTATTGGGAGTTTGTACCTTTACATAATATATATATCTGTTCTTAATTTTTTCTCCATTCCCTTGACCTCCCCTCAACCCCTACACCACTCCCTATTTACAAAGACTTTGTTTCCATTTTTTTCCTTTTATCAAATTATTTCTTTTCCCTTCTTTCCTTTCCCCTACCCCTCCCACTTCTCCTTTCCCTTTAGACCTTTTCTTCCTATTTCACATTATCTATTATACATTTTGATCCTTATTTACATATTCAGTTTCTCACACCAGAGAAAGTAGTTGGTATTTACACATGTGTGACCTATTTATTTCACTTAGGAGTATGGCCTCAATGTGCATCCATTTAGCTATAAATGTCTCTAGTTTCTCATTCTTTATGGCTGAGTAGTACTCCATTTTATTAAAAAAAAAAAAAAAGCAACACATCTTCTTTATCCAATCCTCATTTGATGGAGAATTGGGCTGTTTACAAGTCTCAGTCATTAGAAACTCTGCCGCTCTGAACATGGGTGCACATATATTGCTGTGGTATGATTCTTTTAATTCTTTGGGGAAGATACCCAACAGGGGAATAGCTGGGTCAAATGGCACCTCTAGTCCTAGATTTTTGAGGTATCTCCATACTGATTTCCACAGTGGTTGCACCAGTCTACACTCCAGCAACAGTAGAGAAGGGTTCCTTTTTCCCCACAGCCCCACCAGCATTTGTTATTGGTTGATTTCATGATAGTAGCCATTCATTCTGGGGTGAGGTGGAATCTCAGTGTTGTTTTCATTTGCATCTCTTGAAAGACCAGTGATTTTGAACATTTTTTCATATGTTTATTTGCTATTTCTACCTCTTTTGTCTGAGAAATGTCTGTTCCTTTCAGATGCCCATTTTTGGATTGGGTCTTTAAATTTTGGAGGTCTGAGTTCTTTTTATACTTTAGAAAGTAGACCTTCATCTGAGGAACAGCTGGTAAATTTTTCCCCACGTTGTGGGTTGTCTCTTCATGCTGTTGGTGGTTTCTGTTGCTATGCAGAAGCTTTTGGGTTTTTTTGGTATGGGGATTGAACTCGGGACCTTGTGCTTGCCAGGCAGGCACTGGAACCACTGAGCTAAATCCCCGGGCCTGTAGAAGCTTTTTAATGAGAAGAGATCCCAGTTGTTGATTCTTTGTGCTAGTTCACAGGCAACTGAGGTTATGTTCATGAAATATTTGCCTATGCTAACATCTTCAAGAGTTCTACCTAACCTTTCCTCCAGCCGGTTTAGTGTTTCTGTTTTAATATTTAGCACTTTAATCCATTTAGATTTTAGTTTAGTGCCTTGTGAGTGATATAGGCTCAAATATTGTATTGAGAAGGTTTAGGGCAGGATTCAGATACAAATATTTTAACTGCCTAATCTCCTTATTTTCTATGACAAATTTAGAAATTGCTGACTTCATCACCATTTTGCTCAGCAGGATACTTAGGTAGACATTTCCAATCAGTGTTTAGAGATTAAAACTTTAGTAAAATGGCATACATTAAAAGTCAGTTTGGAGCTATTTCAGGGCTAACAGTGCAGTGAATTACTGCAGTTGTTGAATAATTTCAGGTAAGGAAATAAGAAAATTTAGATGTAGACTCCATGGAAAATTACCACTAAAGATGTGGGAATAAAGAGAAAAAGATCTGAAATAAGAAATTTCCCTTTGGAGATCGAGGTAAATGGGAAATGGTGGGTGTGCAATTCCTACCATGGGAGATGTACAATCCCTGAAGAGAAAAGAAAACCTTAGTAAAATATTGAGTGTCTAGGGAATTCAATACACATTGTGGCTTCAGAAGTAAACACAATCCCTTCATTTCATTTTTCTATCTATAATCTATTCTGCAGGTAGAGACTGAGGACATTTCTTCCTTGTTTATAGACGAGTGCATTATGTCATTAAACTCACATCTTATGTCATTATGTCATTAAACTCTCCTCTAGTGAGAATTGTAATAAGAAGTGCTATTTATTTTTCTCCAAAGTTGGTGCTTCAGAGGAGTTATTGTTATCACCATAAATTAGGACCACTAATTCCAAAAGACTTCCTGGGAATATGAGAAATTAAGGCAGTTTTACCCTCTTAGAATCAAAGGAATCAAAGCCAAAAATCCTATATTGTCCTTTCAGGACCAGGGGAAAATACAACAAAGGATCACTAAGTTTTCTCTCCTAAGAAGGGTAAGTTTTGAAATCCATTTATATTAACATCTTCCAGTAACACCTTTATTGAGCTATCACTAACATTTACAATTATATAGGAGATAAACAACTTGATGTGGTGACATACATACACATTGTAAAATGATCTGAGCAATGAAAATTACTCACTTGTGATATACACACAGATATACAATGAAAAGAAATTTTAAAGATCTATTTTGTTATCAAATTATGAGTTTATGATATACTATTAACTATTATTACCATATTTTACATTAGATCTCCAAATTTTAATTGTTTTACATAACTGATCTTAATACTCTTTTGCCAAAATCACCTGAATTTCTCGCTGTCCAATAACAATCAACATCCTACTCTCTGCTTATATGAATGTACTATTTTAGATTTACACATATATGCTAGATTTTACATTATTTCTCTTTCTGTGTCTTGCTTTTTATATTTAGCATAAGGAACTCATATTTTGAGATGAAGTCCAGGAATCTGATATATGTCATTTTTCCCCATTTTCTGCTACCCTAAGACTCAAGTACAACTAACAGAAACACATCTTTGAAAGAGAAGTAGATAACGTTCATAGGATTATTGGACACAAGGGGTGCAGTATTTTAGTTAGTAAGCACCCTTTCCTTGGACAGATCTCTCTCTCTTCTGAACATAAGTTTTTCCATATCATGGGACTGTAATGAAACCACTCATTCCTAGAGTCTGGTTGTTTTATTTAGATTAAAAAAGTTTTTATGGTTCCAGCACAACAGAGTCTAATCTGCATTAGAATTCAATACCAAAATGAAAGACCTCTGCTTCCAATTTTATTAGTGAATGGAGGATCCAAACAAAGGAGGAAATGGTGAGATGAGAGAAAATTATACGCTGTTCTAGCCTTGTCTTTTTTCTTTGGTTTATTAAGGCAACTATGTTTTCATATGTCAGCAATAGCCTTGGATCTATAGGCTAAATTCATATTTTTTTAACATATTTAGCTTTTAAGACATTATTGAGAGGAAGACAATATCACTCATACCAGGTAACATTAAAGGCAAGTGTCATGGATTCAGGCTGGTTAGGTCTGGACATTCACAGCTTATGCCTCACCTTTGTGAGAGAAGATATTGTTGGAAGAGTGGGTGTGGTATGATGCAATCCTTCTGTCTTGTATACACAGATTCTATAGAGAAGAATGGCTCCTGAAAATGGCTCTTTTGTGACTGAGTTTATTCTGATGGGGTTAACAGACCGGCCAGGTCTCCAAATACCACTGTTCTTCCTGTTTCTAGTAATGTATGTGCTCACTGTGTTAGGAAATTTGGGCCTAATAATTCTAATTGGATTGAGTTCTCACCTTCACACTCCTATGTACTTTTTCCTGTTTAACTTGTCCTTTATTGACCTCTGTTATTCTTCTGTATTTACACCCAAAATGCTCATGAACTTCATATCCAAGAAGAATGTTATCTCTTACAGAGGATGTAGGACTCAGCTCTACTTTTACTGTTTTTTTGTCATTTCTGATATCTACTTGCTGACATCAATGGCCTATGATCAATATGTGGCCATCTGTAATCCACTGTTGTATGACACTGTCATGTCCAGTAAAATATGTTGCAATCTTATGCTTGGTTCATACCTGATAGCATTTTCTAGTGCCGTGGCCCACACGGGATGCAGGCCGAGACTGACTTTTTGTGATGCAAACACCATCAACCACTATTTCTGTGACATTTTCCCTGTGATGCAGCTTTCCTGCATCAGTACCTATATCAATGAATTGGAGGTTTGCACTGTGGTGGGGATCAACATCTTTATGCCCATTGTCACTATCTTTGTCTCTTATGGTTTCGTTGTCTTCACTGTCTTCCACATCAGCTCCAATGAGGGTAGATCCAAAGCCTTCAGCACCTGCAGTTCCCACATAATTGCTGTTTCTCTCTTCTTTGGGTCAGGTACATTCATGTATCTTAAGCCATCCTCTGCTGGGTCTATGAATGAAGGAAAAATCTCTTCTGTCTTTTACACCAATGTGATACCCTTGATGAATCCTTTAATCTATAGTCTGAGGAACAAAGATGTTAAAATTGCCCTGAGAAAATCCTTGACCAGGAGAAAGTTTTGATCAGTAAATTAATTTCTATATGCATTTAATTAAAAGACATAGAATCTATTTTAATAGATGAGGAAATAGCTATAGCTATTATTTCTTATGATGGTGACAGTTGAAGATTTTCTCCATTTGTTTCCAATTTTATTAATAGTCATTTTTCTTCATCATGTGCACATTTTTTCTTTTTATCATTTTTTCTATTTAATAATAAAATTAAGGAAGATTTCATCTCTGTTTTTTCTCATTGTCATTATGGATCATATTTCTGTTGATAAAAATAAAAATTTTTGAATATGACAAAATAAATACTAGGGTAATATTTACAATTCCAGAGAATGTGTTTCTTTTCTTCCTCGTGATTTATTCTATTGGAAACAAATTAGATGTGCTTCCTCTACTCTTGTCTTTCTATCCACAAGAGGGCAGGAAATGTCTCCTTCAAATGCCAGTGTTTCACACATATAAATTCACAGGACTATCAAATGCAACACATTTTGCAGCTGCAAACTCTATGTATTAATCTTCTTTTTATCAAAATATTTATATATACTTTGTAAAACAAACTGGCTAATAAAAGATACCCAATATGTATTTATTGCATGGATGGTATACTAAAGCTCAATATAGTCAACAATTTAAGGACTCAGTGCTCTTTAATGAAAAGCCATAGAACAAGCCAATAGCCTACTTATTTTAAGTCTCCTGCTATTTCTGTTGTGCTTTCCCCCTTTTATTAGTTGTATTTCATTAAACATGACAAATATTTCTGTTTTTAAAGTTGACTATGCCTTGTTTCTAAATGTTACATGAACTTATATCAAGGTACTTTGTTTTTGCTGTTCTAGAAAACAATTTTATGCTTCTTTTTGCTGTGAAAGAAGAGGCCTGTTGAGATAGGAGAGTTGGGAGATGATTGGCTCAAGGAGGGAGCTCAGTGTTGTACAAAACCTAAAAACAGAATTTGAAATGTTTTCAGGTAATTGAAATTCAGAAAATAAGTATGAGAAAGGATCTCCGCAACATGTCCTTAGTCCAAGTCCCCCCCAAAATGCATAGCTTTTAAATAGGAGGTTGCTCTAAGGATGATTGGGCATGTAAAAGCTGCATTTCAGTGTGAATTTGTATTTTATGGCTGAGTAGTATTCCATTTTATTAAAAAAAATTTTTCTTTATCCAGTCTGCAGTTGATGGGCAACTGGGCTGTTTCCAAGTTTTAGCTATTACAAACTGTGCTGCTATGAACATGGGCACACATATTGCTGTGGTTTGATTATTTTAATTCTTTTGGGAAGATCCCAACAGAGGAATAGCTGGGTCAGATGGCACCTCTATTCCTAGTTCTTTGAGGTATCTCCATACTGATTTCCACAGTGGTTGCACCAGTCTGCACTCCCAGTAGTAGTGGAAAAGGGTTACTTTTACCCACAGCCCTGCCAGCATTTGTTATTGGCTGATTTCATGATAGCAGCCATTCTTTCTGGGGTGAGGTGGAATCTCAGTGTTATTTTCATTTGAATCTCTCTTATGACCTGTGATGTTGAATATTTTTCATATGTTTGTTTATTATTTCTACTTCTGTGTCTGAGAAATGTCTTTCAGATGTTCATGTTTATATTGGGTTTTTAAATTTGGGAGGTCTGCTTTTTAAAGTTTTTTATATATTCTATGTAGTAGACTTGTCTGAGGATTAGCTGGTAAAAATTTTTTCCCATATTGTGGTTGTCTCTTCATGCTGTTGGTGGTTTCTCTTGCTTTACAGAAGGGTTTTAATGAGAAAAGATCCCACATGAGTTTTTTGGCTACTTCACCTGCTACTGAAGTTTTTTTCATGAAATCTTTCACCATGGCAATGTCTTCAAGAGTTCTACCTAAACTTTCTTCCAGCTGGTTTAGTGTTTCTGTTCTAATATTTAGCTCTTTAATATGTTTTTATTTTAGTTTAGTTCATGGTGAGAGACATAGTTCTAGTTTTAGTCTTTGGCAAGTTGAAACATGATTTTTCCAGCACCATTTATTAAAGAGGCAATCTTTCCTCCGTTAAGTGTGTTTGGCACCTTTGTTGAAGATGAGGTGGCTTCATATGTCTGGAGTTCTTTCTGCATCTTCTAATAGGTTCCACTGGTCCTTGGGTCTGTTTCTTAGCCAGTACCATGCTGCTTATATCACAGTAACTTTGCAGTATAGATTTAAGTTGGGGATTGTGATAACCCCTACCTTGATTTTGTTGCCTAGAGTTGCTTTTGCTATTCTAGGTTTCTTCTTGCTCCAAATGAATTTTTGGATTGCTTTCTCAAGGTCTGTGTAGTATGCTGTTGGAATTTCAGTTGGGATTCCATTGAATCTATACAGCAGTTTTGGAAGTATGGGCATTTTCACTATATTGGTTCTTCCTACCCAGGAGCAAGGGCTGATATCCTCTTCAACCTCTTTTTTTCATAGTGCTATAGTTTTCAGGGTAGACTTCCTTGATTCCTTTCATTAGGTTGATTCCTAAGTATTTCATTTTTTTTATGCTATTGTGAAGGGAGATGTTTCTCCAGTTCCTTTTTCAGTGAGTATGTTGTTTGTGTATAGGAAAGCTATTGATTTTTGTGTGTTGACCTTGTATCCAGCTACTCTAATGAATTTGGTTAAGTCTAAAAGACTTTTGGTGGCATTCTTGGGGTCTTCTATATAAATGTCATGTTGTGTGGAAATAATGACAGTTTGACTTCTTCATTTCCTATCTTTATTCCTTTTATTTATTTTCTTGTCTAATTGCTATGACTAATGTTTCCAAATCTATGATGAACAGGGCTGGTGATAGTGGACATCCTTGTCTTTTTCCTGATTTTAGTGTGAGGGATTTCAGTTTTTGACCATTTAATATGATATTAGATGTTGTTTTTTCATTGATGGCTTTTATCAGGTTGTGGTGGAAACCATCTATTGCAATTTTTTGTATGTTTTTTTAATCGTGTATGCATATGGGTTTTGTTGAATGCTTTTTCTTCATCTATTGAGATAATCACACTGGTTTTGCCCTTGTTTCTATTAATGTAGTGTATTACATTTATTGATTTGCATATGTGGAATCATCTCTGCATCCTTGGGAAGCATCCCACTTAGTCAGGGTGTATGATCTTCTTGATGATCTTCTGCATTCTGTTTGCCAGTATCTTATTGAGGATTTTTGCATATAGGTTCATTAGTGCAATTGGCCTATAGCTCTCTTTTTTGGTCAGTCTTTCTATGTTTTGGGGATCAATGTGATGTTTGCTTCCAGGAATGAATTTGAGAATATTGCTTCCTTTTCTATTTCATTGAAGAGTTTAAACAGTAGTAGTAATAGTTCTTTGCTAAGTGTCTTGAAGAATTGACCAGTGAAGGCCCGGACCATTATCAGTGCCTGGAGATTTTTTGGTTGGTAAGTTTTAATTATGTTTTCAATTTCACTGACTGATATTGAGTTGTTGATAATTTTTAGGTCTTTTTCATTCAAAGTTGGCATTTCATATATATCTAGGAATCTGTCCATTTCTTCTGTGTCATAATATTGTCTGATAATATACAGGGGATAACTTCAATTCCTTTGCATATATTTAAACATGTTCTTTGAGAGAGAATGTGGTTTATTTTGGAGCATAACCTGTGTCCAGCTGAAAAGAATGTGTATTCAGATTTTGTGGGTTACAACATTCTGTAAACATCTGTTAAATTCATTTGTTCAGCAGTTTGATTGAGCTCTAGTATTTTGTTGTTTATTTTCTGTCTAGTTGATCTATCTATTTGTGACAGTGGGGTATTGTCCCCAACTACTATTGTATTAGTGCTTATTTGATTTTTCATATCCATTAATATTTGTTTCATATAGTTGTTTGCACTAGCATTTGGTGCATACATGTTTATGAACGTCATCTCTTCGTCTTGGAGTTTTCCTTTTACAAGGATTTAGTGTCCTTCTTTGTGCCTCTTATTAAGTGTTGGTTTGAAATCCTTTTGATCTACAAAGAGGATAGCTACCCTTGCTTTTTTCGTGTTCCTGTTGCATGGGGTATTGTCTTCTACTCTTCAACTTTTAGTCTATGTGTTTCTTTTTGAAATATGTGTGTTTCTTGTATGCAGCATATTGTTGGATCTTGCTTCTTGATGCTTTCTGGCAGTGTATTTCTTTTGATTGGTGAATTGAGACCATTAACATTGATGGTTATAACTGATATCTATTGACTTTTCCTTCTCATGACTTTTTCATTTTGTTGAGTTCTCCCATTTTGCATTTAATTTCTTATTATGCCTGATGGATTCATTCTGCTGGGCTTCCTGGGGTTGTCTTTTCCTAGGATATTGTTTAAAATTTTTTGGAGTGGTGGTTTGATATTCATGAAGTTTTTCAGGTGCTCTTTGTCATGAAAATATCTTATATCAATTTTGAAAGATAGTTTTGCAGGGTATATCAATCTGGGTTGGAGGTTGTTTTCTTTTAGGGCTTGAAATACTTCACTCCAGGCTATTCTTGTCTTGAGGGATTGTGTTAAGAAGTCTGCCGTGATATCAATGGGCTTTCCTTTGAATATAATTTGTTTCTTTTCTCTAAATGATTGTAGAAGTTTGTTCTTCTATTGGGTTTCTGGAACGATAACTATTATATGCCTAATGTAAATTATTTTTAATCATGGCTAGTTGAAGTCCTATATACCTCACTTATCTGTATGTCAAATTCTTTCCCCCTGCTTGCAAAGTTTTGTCATTACTTCTGTGAACAGTTTTTTTTTAAATGTCATTTGCATTCTCTCCTATTTCTTCATTGACTCTGATCAGTCTTATATTCTTCTTTGCATCATCTAGCAGAGATGATGCTCGATTTAATTGTCTTGGTTACTTACTATTTTTAATAAATTTTTAAATTTCCTGGTCACTAATTGAAATCCTGTCTATATCTGATGTTCTGTTCTTACATTGGCTCATTCTGCTATGTAAACTATCAATGACTTTTTTAATCTCCTGGATATCTATTTGCATCTGTTTAATGGATG